GCGAAAACCGCAAATGAACTTTAGTCGCCCGCGTGTCACGAATTTATTTACCGCGGCCGCGTCGTAAATTTCGGCCGTAATTCAGCACCTCCGCGCGCCCATGCTCGCATGCCTAAATGCTTATTGTTGTTAACTGATTGAACGAGCCATGGGAACGGTATTATTGTACGTTCGGCGGCGAATTCGCAGAACAGACCGTCGTGCGTACTGATAAACCTGATCGATAGTGGAAGGACGTACGAAGGACGGGAGGCTCTGACTTTATTCATAGGCCCTGTTGAAGAAATTCGTATAACGTTACAGCTCGAGATAAAATATTGCAGCTGCATTAGCTACATTAAATTAAAATGGCACTGCGCGTGTACGTTAAGACCAGGTACCTTACATAATTAGTAAGGTGTTACAGGTAGTATATCCCTCAAGTCCTGAAATTAAATTTTTCAACAAGATCAAACGGCCTTAAAACGTTAAGTGGAAATTACTCCGAGTTCTTGCTAATTGCGAATGCTTTTAATAATCTCGAGCTCAAAATGAGTTCTGACGACGATTATGCCGTTACTACACTGGATGGTTTCCAAAAGTTCGTGGAAATAACTGATATGATTTACAGGAATTCTTGCGCGTGAGACGAGACTGAAATACAGCGCTTATTGCGTATAAACAAAATGGTAATGTCCCGAGTGGAAATACCGCGTCAGCGGGTAAAAAATTTTAGAGTCGACAGAAATACAGGAGGGGGAGCTTATGCCAGAAATCTCGTGACTCTCATACGATCCTGTCCGTCGTAAATCCATTCTACGTCGAATCGTGAACAGAGAGATATACGCTGATATCTTTCGTTGCTTGAAGAAGGAAACTATTTTTTCCGGGGAAAAAAACAACGTTAATTGACGTCAAAGTATCTCTCTGACGGTCGTTTTTCTAATATTTTAAAGGAGCGTCAAATTAACTGTTGAAGTTACCTCGACGGTAACGTTTCAATATCCTGTTCGTTTTTGGTCAAGTATTTACCCGCGATGGGGCAGTCTCCTAATTTAAAGACCAGCTCATTTCCATCCAATTCACTGAAAAAGTCATTGGGCTACCCCTAGTAGCACAGTGCATTGGCTGAACATTGGCTAAATATTGGTACAATGTTTAGCCAACTGAATTTTATTAATTAAACATCTACTTTGTTAATTTATTCATTGCTCGTAAATACATTGGCCTTAATTTTCCTTTACTCTTTTTATTGGTACAATGTCGGTTATATTAAGGCCTGTGTCCACGATGCTGGAACTTGGACCAAGCCCAGGCCTTTAGAAATGCATTCGCCGATATTGTCCAACGTAAAACCGATATTGGCCATGGAATAAATGTAAATATTGGTCCAATGTTGCACGATAATAATGATATAATATTAGATTTATATTGGAAGTGCATTGGCCAACATTTAACAATGTAACAAGAATGTTGGTCTAATATTGATAGCTAAATAGACATATTGGCTGAATAAGAGAAGGCGTCCATCTTACAATACTGGACCAATACTGGGAATACTAGATTTACATTATTTCTCAATATTGCGCCAATACATTGGGCTACTAGAGGAAAAACGGCGCTTTCGTTCAAGACTCGATTCGGAAAGCGCGCCGACAAAATTCGAAAGCTCTCGCAAAATGACGGCCAGTAACGCCCGTGGCTTCCGCCGCTAATTCGCCAGCGGAAATGCGTAGGGATCCATTCACGCAAAGAGACTCTATCTTGAACGCAATTTAAACTATCTTAATCCGTTCCGCGCGTTTTGTTTCGCAGAGGCGGAGCGATTCTGAGAACATTTCGAGATCCGCTTCTCGTGATCCGCGTAGAGCGATTTCGCGCCGTGACGCAACTTTCCGCGCCATTTTGCGACGTATCTAGCGGCCGCGACGTCGCTGGATTAATTCTGACGTGCGTATATATCCGAGCGAATCTCTCGCTGGCTGGCGCAAGTTTTTCGCAATGACAAGCGGTGCGTGCGCGGTCGCAGGGCGACTTGGTCGCGAATGCCGTAATTGCGTCCGTCTACGTCAATGCGAGCGCACGTACGGATAAACGGCCGGGTTATAAACATGCCCGAGCCTCATGATTGGTACAATTGAAGTTCCGGCGGTACCGCCGAGGCGCAGGTGTCCCCCACGTGTCGTTATTTGCGTCTTCCTCCTCTCCAACTTGAACCTTTGTCGTGTATCGAAATGTATACGTCTGTCGTTAGGGTCCGTCTGGAGTTCGATACCAGCGGTATATATTACGCAGAGCGGACCACACATGAGTCGAGTCGATTACCTCGATCGTCTCCCCGTTGAAGTATTAAAAAGACAAACGAAAGCAAATGAACGATCTTGAAGACGTAAAAAAAAATGACCAAGTTGACATTTGTCTTTATCGGTGGTGCGATTAGACGTACACGGAAAATATGCGAAATAGGCAAAGTATATTATACATATAATTTCTATTAATTCGCTAGCGAATTCTTCGACGAAGAAAGAGCATGCGATAGAGAGATGAAATATCATATTTAGGAAAGGGGGTTGGAAAATATACGAAATAGGCAATTTTATATAATTTCTATTAATTCGCTAGCGAATCCTTCGACGAAGAAAGAGCATGCGATAGAGGGAGATGAAATGCCATATTTAGGAAAAGGGGTTTTAGAAAATTTGCCAAATAGCCAAAGTGTTTCACAAAATTTCTAATTCGTTAGCGAATTCTTTGACGAAGAAAGAACATGCGATATTTATAGAGAGGTGAAATGTCGCATTTCGGGAAAGGGATTAAATTAGAAAGCCCAAGGGTCTCGGGATTGGCGCAGAAATGTGAGCAATTAGAGCGAAGTGCCTCGTAAATTGGGCACCCCTGCGATCTATTTTCGCATTGCTTTCGTTCGATAACGATCGCGCCATGACCTTTCCGACCGCAAATTGCCGTCGTCTGACCTCTACCGCGACCCAGATCCGATCGAGGCGCCGATCGGCGCCGAAAACGTTCTCGATCCCGAGCACCGCATTCTCATCCATCCACTTAATAGGTTTCGATTCTAACTTGTAATTATTGTATACTTTAACATACCGCAATTATATTATATACTTTAAAGCATATAACATAAAATAGAAGACAAGTTATATGTACTTATGCAATTTGTATAAGTATTATACAAGTTATATAAACGTTAGGTAACAAAGTTAAAGTACACGATAACTTTGTTTAAATTCGTAATCGTTATAAGTGCGTTTATTAATGCACTTTAACAAAGTGCGTAATAAATTAATGCAACAATATTGAACCGCAGACGACAGGCCGAAGATAATTATTACGGTTAATTCCGCTGACAACGGAAGTAACAATTTTTCGAGTATATCGATTGAGAACCACTAGGGAAGATACGAAAGTGTTCGGATTCAATCGGATTTATGGCCTGCTTTCTCTCCCCGTCATTAACGATTTGAGGATACTCTCGATTCTTTATAATCGGTCTATTTTCGTCGAATACGCGCCGAAAAAGAAAAAAGATATTTGCGGCAAAGCACGACGACCAGTGGCGGTTAGTTTATCGTCGGGATTTTCCGTTTGAGACCCGCTCTTACACAAGAGTAAATTGCTAGTTCAACAAATTTCATTGAGTCTCAACAGATAAGTGACGGACGATTTGCATAATTGCATTTTTGTCGCGATCGCGCAAATCATCTCGTTTCATCATTCAGCCAGTCCGCAATTGAATTCGTCAGAGTAAACGTCATTTTGTGAAGAAAATCAAATAAGTCAAAAAAATTCAAGACTGCGTTTACGAAATTCAATGGCTGCCGGTGTCTTTACGAAAACAAATTGTGCACAAATTTACGTAAAGGGTGAAAAGCAAATGTCGAAATCACCTAATTCATTGGCAAAACGTTTACAGAAAAAAAAGAAATGCTCGGGATAAATTTTTACGATGTGAGAAAAAAAACACTGTGTGTATATGTGGCAATTTTCCACAATATATTTTAAGTAACAATAACATTTCTCACAGCGTAAATTTAATAAGTAGAGGAAAGTCCTCTATTATGAGATAGCAGGTTTTCGACACCCAAAAATCACACATCTTTTTTTTGCAACGATTACACAATCTAACAATAAATTTTCCACTAAACGGATTTCGCTCCAAGAGTAATAAATTCATAGTGGAATCAACTGATGAAGCCTATTAATTTAACAGAAACTGAACCCCGCTATCCCATATTAAGATCCTATCTCATAACAGGGGACTTTTCTCTACACATATTTTCGAAAATAATTTTTTCACTTTAATGCAGTTGTAAAAATTATGAAGACATAAAAGATTCGATGGTTTATGTCGAGATATAACAGACTAAATATCATACGATTTTACTAAAAAAAAGAACCATCAATGCCGTGTTGCTGTTTTATAAAAAACACATGCTAGAAAAAATTATTTATATTTCCTATTTAAAATTCTGCGAGACTTTTATTTGAAATATTGACAAAAAATTAAATTTATTGTCGGTATGTTTATGATTTCGACATTTTTTCCTCACCCTGTACGTTTGAAATTGTGACAAAGGTTGATTACGCTAATCAGAAAGCGTGAATACTGAGAGTATATTTAACCTCTTCTAATCTTTCAACGATGCATTATTACAGAGATAATAAAATATGAGTCCTTGATACGTTTTAATCTTATTACATTTCGCAAAGTCGATCCTCTATCATTAATTCACTCCTGATAAGATTAGTATAAAATGAGATAGAGGTAAAGTGAAACGCGTGAAATAGAATAAATGGCAAGTGTTTAAGAGCATGCAGTATTGCGATGAAAGAGGGAGGGGGGGGAAGGCAAAGGGGAAACCGAGATATCGATTAATTATACTTGTTAATCAGGAAGAACGGCAGCTGAGAAGTGAACGAAGCTGAATTAAATTAAATCGAGAATAAAGGTTAGAGCGAAAAAATATATAATTTTGTTGCGCATACAATGGAAGACTCACCGAGATGCGACAACGAATATGGATCTGAAACAGCAAAAAAGAAAGGGACACGATTAAACTTTATGCAGATTTCAATGGCTACGTGACCCGGCAGATGCTCGAACGCACACCTTTATCAATAAAGCGATTGCAATGACAAACCAAGTGAGATTCGCGCCGAACGGTAGCAAGAAACGGCGGAGCTGCGAGTTTCTTAATATTTTGCTCATAAATTCATGAATATCGAAGCCTAAATCGATGCAACAGTAACAGTGCAACGGGGTTTTCCGCGGTCGACGTCACGGAGCTCCGAAGTGCATTTCTCGAAACAGAAAATCGACTCTTTGTCGGCGAACTTGATGGGACATAAATCTTCGAGTTGTAAGCACAGAAAAGTCTTTATCAATTATTGTAAAAGACATCGAGCATATTTTCTGCCTACATTCGCTGCTCGTGTGAGTTAATCGGAGCGATAAACCTTTGTTCGATAATACATATCAAATCGCGGAACAACTTTTTTGGCAACTATTCGCTCGACTTGATCGACAGGAGTCATCGATCTTCTGTGCGATTTCGTCGAAGCGATTGTCCCCTAGCTCCTTCTCTTTTTCTTCTTATTCTCGAGGATTATTATAGATCGCGTGGCCCGCGTTCAAGGCCCGCTAACTGAATCGCCGTACATTAGATGAAGTAGCAGGGAAAATCTATTTATAGATTATAGGCCGCTTCGTCTTCCTCGAGGAGGAAGATAAAAAGAAGTGATCGATAAACTTTCCCTTATAGTCGCACCCCTACGTGATATCGTATTACAAATGTTTCATATCCGGCCGACAATCATTCGAGCTTATTAAAAGAGAAAGGAAATTACAACTGCAAGTGTACGATTCCTTTTAAGTAATTTAATTATGAAGTTATTTACGGTCTAACAAATTAAAAATGAAGGGAATGTATTTGGATCGGCAAACTAAGCTAATTGTTATTACTAAGCATATGTTGTTATTTAAATAAATGTCATTAATATAATGTCAGTAATGAGTGATGACACTGATAACGCTAATAACAACTAGGTTTATTAGCGCAATTTACTTCCATCGGTTTTAATTAAAAAATCAATTTTAATAGAAAACGTACGCGTAATATACTCCGCGACACATTAACAAAATTCAATATCTATTTAAATGATATTAAAATATATTAAACATTAGCACGTGCAAAACGTGTATATTATTACATTCTGTCACAGTTAAATTTCCCGGAACAAAATTCTCTGACAATCCTCAACGAGGAAAGAAGAAAAGAAGGGCACTGTTTCGATTCAGCGAATCGGCCATTGATAATTAATCTCGAGTGTTGTTGCCAAAATAATCGTTTCTCTCGATCTGAGAGCCAATGCGATCCAGCAATTAATTTATTATACTAATCAATATTCGCCTATCTTAGGATACTTCATGAAATAGCCAAGTTATGCGATTCAACCCCGTGTAGCGTCTCGATAACACACAATCTAACGATTCCATCGAGTGTATATACTAATTAATCTTTCGGGGCACGTCGCGTAGAAAGTTGTCTCGTTATACTCTATATAACACCTTTGCGCAGCGCGTAATTTAATTATCCGTCGCATCTGAATCACGTTCCCGGCGTTCCCTCGAGCGTGCTAATTTATATTAATGTAATGCAATTGGTTACGAATTTTTCGGCTGACGTCTCTCACGTGGTACACCAGCTGGTGGCTTCCCCCGTCTAACGAAGGAAATTGTTTTCGCACACGGCGACAGGTGCGCCTCGTCAATAACATTTATGCCCCGACCTTGCACCGTCGAAATGTGGAATAAATATTACCTGACTAGAGATAAAAATTGACGTAAAATATTATCACGTTGCGTAATCGCAATTAGACGATTCCAGGCCTTCCTCTTTATCTGGGCCCAGAATTTCTAATGTCGGGGTCGTCGCCAACGATATACGGTATTATTCGCAGCACGTCCCAGATGTATCGAACCGTATTTTATCTATTTCTTTTTATATCTCGTCGTTAGTAACCGAATCACTGGGCTGTAAGTTCGTCAAGAAAGACTACATGATTTTTATTTAACTCGACAGTCGAGGTGTAAAGAGATAATGTTTCTCGAAGGAAAAGCAAACTGTTTTGTACTTTTAATGTAAATTTAATTACGTGTCCAATTAATTAATTAAATAATACTTTACAACCCTGACTTAGACACGTTAGTAAAAGTAATTAAAAAAATTTTCAATTTTACTATCTGATTGTTATTTGTTTAAAATATTTTATGGACATTTAACACAGATATTTCAGTATTAAAGCAAATAAAACTAATACAAACGAGAGACATAAAAATGTATAATATTTATTAAAATAAGAAAAATGATTTATTACCAAGATCGAAAAGTAAAGTTCGAGAAAATATTTCTTTTCTTCGGTTGTACAAGTGACTTTTTACACGACTCCGTATCATCTTTCTAAATAAATCGAGCCTTCTGTTATTACATATTACATGTTGTTTTGTTATTACATAACATGTAAAACAACAAATTCGAACAATGTATTTTATAATTATATACTATCTGAAACAAGATAATTTATCTTGATTATATTCCGACACAAAATATCAGAGATCTCTATTAACATTTTAATACTGTCACTATCTTTGAATATAAAGTAACTAGAAAATCTAGTTATAAAAAAAATTATGACTACTAAAGCGCAAGTAAGTAACCTATGTTAAAATTTAAAAAATTTTTATTTTGACATTTAATTTAATTCTTTCGACCTGCATGTGGATTTTTCGACCTAGATGTTAATCGGATGTTTTTCGCTGATTCTTTTGTTAATAGCATGTATGTAAAAAAAATTGAAAGTCCCTTGTTTAAATGAATACTATACATATACTTTTATGCTTTTCATTTGCATTAGTTTTATTTATGTTTTAATTTGCACGGAAAGAAGTTCTCTTCTTTTCTCTTTTTCTTAATTTCTCTTAAAATAAAAAAAATTTCTCTTAAAATTCTCTCCGTGTATATCGAAGAGGATGCTGGAGTAATTCTGCACTTTTTGCTCCTAGAACTGTTAATTCATGAAAACACTTGTGTAATATACAAATTATGTGGCTTTTTTATACAGACCGGCTAGTCTCCACTGATCGTTATATGTTGGAATAAATTATAGGTAACCTATAACTTATTCGAAGGAATATATTTTTTGTTAGACTTCTGAACTTAATTTCAATGATAGCATGCTATGTTCTCTGATTTAATCCGATTAGTAAAACCTAGTCGGTCTGTGCATAAAAGCCAAGCCACATAATTTGTATATTACACAAATGTTTTCATGAATTGATTCCAGTCGCAAAGGGTGCAAAAAGTGCAGAATCACTTCAGCATAAGTATCTGGTTAAATAAATACCAATATCTCAAACAAATAAAAATCAACTAGTAAAATTGATTGAAAATTTTGTGAGATAACAAGGCAGCAACGAAATTAATCGTCTTTGATTTTGAATCAAAGTTTTCTCGCCTCAAGCTACTCGATGTAACAATTTTCTTCAGAGGAGCCAATTGAATGTGAGATAAGGGAGGGAGATGGGGAAGGAGGGGAGGCTCATGCGTCACGACGACACGCGTGCGTCGCTCTAGAAGCCACGGGTTGCCACCCTAAATGTTGTGACTATTTTCGAGCCGTGGCCTGGCAGCGCGCGGAGTTTATATCCGAGTGCACGAGGGCGAAAGCGGCATTATTTTCGGCTGCACGCGATTCAATTTAAGTTCCTCCGTCGTTCCGGAGAGGATCGCGAAGAAAACGAGAAGAGAAGCACCGTGCAAATCCGGAAGCTGTTGATTCGCGAACCGAAACTCCGACCTCTCGGCATCCGACAAGCGAGTGCACTTTCCCTTCCTTTTGATCCTGAGGAAAGCCGCCATGAGCGAAGAAAGTACACTCGCCCAAATTATTTTACGTGAATTACAACCGGCAGGATGCTCGAGATCCGCCGAAAATTCGCCGTGGCTGTGGAATGATTCTTATCTTTAAAAAATACAGTTTATTGATCTGACACGACACGGGGGGCTCGATTCCAACGAAAGATATATCTCGTTAACTTATTCTTATCTTTTAGAAACATAGGCGAACGAGAGGAACACGCGTACACGCGCATCAATAGCTGGCTGCAGCCGGTTTGGAATTGCCATTACACCACCGCGCAGTCTTCCGCTGTATTGTTAGTAAATAACATTGTTATTGCCGGCTACTTGTTGCCGATTAACAGCGGATTTACTCGAAATCGTACTAACGTCGCGGAGAACCAGGAAACGAAGAGTAAACTACCGTCACGTGTTCGTAGCTAGACGTAAACAAGTTTACTATGTTAAAGCCCATTTTTTTTCTTGTCGATTAACGTCGCTGCAAACGAATCGATGTCGGCCGCAATGTGCAATCGGAAAATATAAAATTAATTCCGAAAAAAATTGATTGGCACTCCCGGCTTGTTTGTGCTAGTTTATTGAAATCACGAAATTTATTGATACTATTTCAGTATCTCATTATACAAAACAATACGGGAACAAAACAAAATGCAGAGTAAAAATGCAAATTGCAAATGAATCATGAATGATTTTACAATACACAATGACACACGATATTGTTATTAACCAACGTGTCTTTCGATCAATGAAGCAAAACAAAAGAATGTAAGAAGGAATGGAACCACTTTTCCATGTTCGTTAAAATAATGCGATACAATTCGTTGGTCTTTTAATTATCAAGGGTCACGGTAGTGCCAGGCCTCTGTTGTAATTGTTTGTAATTGTTTGTAATCAAAAGATGACATCACGTGAAAACGACAACAGAAGGGCGATATTATCGGCGAGTCAAAACCTCAGATAACATTAATAAGTTTAAGAGGATCAAATTTGTAGACAGATAAGCACCAACGTTCCCAAGTACCGCGAAGTGACGTAATTAATTCCTGTTTATTATCTTAATCGTGCCGATCGCAGCTACGCTCGATAAATAAAATACGATAAGCTTT